TAGTGTTTCATAATGGCAACATATCAAAAAACCAAATCTTTAATTTAAAAAAAGGAGTATAGCGTGCGACATATGAAGCTAATAAGAGAAGGAACAGACAAAAGAGTTGAAAGAGGTGAGCTGCCTCTAAGAAACAAGAATTAGAGGAGGGAAGGACTGGGCAGGGAACCAAGCCTGGTGGTACTGTTTATTTTTTAAAATAATGTTCATGTATTATATTGGTTAAAATTTTTAATTAAAAAATGAAAGCAACATCACTGAATAAAGAAGCTTATTAAAGAAACACTTAAATGTTGTACCGTCCTTCAAGAAGCTGAAGAACTTCAGCTGACATCTATTTTCTTCAAACATCTTTAGACAGAATTTCTTGCCAGATGCTTTGATGATAAATATACAAATGATGTCATTTTGTTAGTGTTGATCTGACTCTGCATTCCTCCATTTCATCAGAACTTGATTTCACAACTATTTATTTTGTTAAAAGTCTTGTAAAATTGGTGCATTCTATGTGAAGGCTGTACATTTGATTTCATACACGTATATCCAATAATCTTTTCTATGAAAGTGGCATGTTTTTAGATCAGTTAACACTCTCATTTCGTATTCCTTTATCATATCAATCACCCGTGTCCGAGTCAAAATGCATGTGAGATGCTATGGGGACTTTCTGTCCTGCCATGATGGAATAGTCCCACTCCTCTCAGGTCCTCCCCCTTACACCTAAAAAACAAACAAGTACAAGGAGTCTCTGAGAGGTAGAAAGAAGAGGTTGGCTGCCTAGGACTTTGAGACTTGAAGAATGCAGAGTGGTGAATTTCCTGGGCTTCATTATGCCTCTCATATATCTGAGACAATGTGCTACAGAAGCCTGCAAACTGGAACTGTCAACAGGAAGAGACCAAAAAAAAGCCTGCTGCCCCTCGCCAAAGTACCAGGAAGAGTGGCCCATTAACCTGTCTACTCTCTAACAAGCACCAATGGAAAACCTCACCCTGCTTCCCACCACAGTTTCAGCAGGGCCCAGCGGGAAGGCGATCTTTCCACCCCACCTGCTCTCAGAAACAAGTGAGTGCACTGATCTAAGTGACATCTACACAACACTCCACCCAACAGTAGAATACACATTTTTTTCAAGCATCCATGGAACATTTACCAAGACAACCATATCCTAGCTCATAAAACAAACCTCAACAAATCTAAAAGAATTGAAATCATACAGAGTATTTCTCTGATCATAATGGAATCAAACTAAAAATCGTTAACACTAAGATAACAGCAAAATCTCCAAACAACTGGAAATTAAACAACACACGTCTAAATCCACGGGTCAAATAGGAAGTCTCAAAAGAAAAAGTCACATAAAATTGAAGGAAAATGAAAATACAGGATATCAAAGTGAGACACACACAGCTAAACTAATGCTGAGAGAGACACCTACAGCACTAAATGCTTACATTAGAAAGAGGAAAGGTTTCAAACAAATTAAGTCCGTTCTTTAAAAAAGAAATGGGAAAAAAGCTGGTTCTTTGGAAAAAATCAATAAAATCAACAAATTTCTAGCAAGACTGACAAAGATAAAGAGAGAAGATACAAATCACTAAAATCAAGAATGAACAGGGAATATCACCACTGCAAAATTAAATTAATACAGGGGAACCTCACTTAAAATGGAGTTGGGAAGTCCTGTAGGGGCGGTCCCCCACACAGGCCATGGGTTGCTTGACATCTCAGCAGGAAGGGCAACTGCTTACTGCTCCAGCGGCAAGGAAGATACTCTCCTTCCCCAGCAACAGCCCAGCCAAGCAGGAGCCGTCGCCACCCTGAACTCTTACTTTCTTCCAACGAATTTTCATTTAGAACAGCCCTTCCCAACTTCCCCCCATTCTTCTTTAAAAGCAAGCTCTCCTCCTCTGTTCTTGGATTTGCCTATGGTCCACTATAGCTTGCATTTCCGAAACTCCAATTCCTCTGGCTATTCCTGAATAAATTCATTTTCTTGGCAAGATAACTGGCTATTTTATTTAAAGCTGACACTACAGACGCTGCAGCTATTAAAAGGAGAACAAGCGAATGCCATGAACAATGCCATGAGACACGAACAGGGCCTGTATGCTGAAAACTATCAAATGCTGATACAAGAAATTTTAAAAGACCTAAATTAATGGAAAAACATACAAAGTTCATGGAATGGAAGATTCAACACAGTAAATATATCAGTTCTCCTCAAATTGATCTATAGGTTTAATGCAGTCATATCAAAATCCCAGCAAGGTTTTTTTTTTTTTCTGTAGATACACAGACAATTTATATAGAAAGGCTCAAGGACCTAGAATAGATAAAACAATCTTGAAAAATAAGAATAAAGTGGGAGGGGGGCTGGCCTGGTGGCGCAGTAGTTAAGTGTGCAGGTTCTGGTTCTTGGCGGACCGGGGTTCACAGGTTCGGATCCCGGGTACGGACATGGCACCGCTTGGCAAAAGCCATGCTGTGGTAGGTGTCCCACGTATAAAGTAGAGGAAGATGGGCATGGATGTTAGCTCAGGGCCAGTCTTCCTCAGCAAAAAGAGGAGGCTTGCCATTAGTTAGCTCAGGGCTAGTCTTCCTCAAAAAAAAAAAAAGAATAAAGTGGGAAGAATCAATCTACCTAATACTCAGGCCTAATATATAGCTACAGTAATCAAGACAGTGTGGTATGGACAGAAGGAAAGACACATCGATGAGTGGAATTGAACAGAAAGCCCAGATACATACCCATACAAATATGCCCAACTGAGTTTCGACCAAGGTGAAATACTGGACTATATACAAAAGCAAAAAAAACGAACCTCAACCTAAACCTCACTCTTTATCCAAAAATTAACTCAAAGTGGATCATGGACTTAAAAGTAAAACATAAAACTATAAAACTTTTAGAAAAATAATAGAAAATCTTTGGGATCTACGGCTAGACAAAGAGTTTTTAGATTTGATAACAAAAGCAAGATTCATAAAAGGAAAAACTCATAAATTAAACCTTATCAAAATTTAAAATTTTTGTTCTTCAAAAGACCCTGTTAAAGAAGTTGAAAAGACAAGATACATACTGGGGGAAAATTTTTGCAAACCACAATTTTGACAAAGTACTTTTACCTAGAATGTATAAAAAAGAACTCTCAACACTCAACAGCAAAAAACAAATAAGCCAGGTAGACAATGGGCAAAAGACATGAACAGACATTTCACTGAAGAGGATATACAAATGGCAAACAAACACATGAAAAGACGTTCAACATCAGTAGCCATTAAAGAAATGCAGAGTAAAACCACAAAAAGAGATGTTACTATACACCTATCATATTTGCTAAAATAAAAAATAGGGACAATGTCCAAATGCTGTCCAGAATGCAAAGGAACTGGATCCAGGATATGTTTCTAGCGGGGATGTAAAATAACACAGCTTGGGAAAGACTATGGCAGGTTCTTACAAAATTAAATATGTGCTTACCAAAACATTCAGAAATCGCACCCCTGAACATTTATTCCAGGCAAATGAAAAGGCATGTTCACAAAAAAACCTGTACATAAATATTCACAGCCAATTTATTTATAACAGCCCAAAACTGGCAACAGTTTGGTTAAGTACAAGTTAAACTGGAGAAATTTGAGTACGATCAGTGGACTGCGTCCAAGCCAATACTCTGGTTGTAATATTTACTATAGTTATGCAAGATTTTACCATTGGAGGGAAATGGGTGAAGGGTATATGGGATCTCTCTGTATTATTTCTTACAAATGCATGTGCATCTACAATTATCTCAAAACCAGAAGTTTAACAAACGTAAAGGACTGGTATTCCTGATAAAAATGCATATAACCTGGATCTTATCATGAAGGAAGATCAGACATCAGACAAACTCAAATGCAAAACAATCGGCCTACACTCTTCAAAACTGCCAATGTCAGATCAAACAGATTCACAGAGACACGACAAATGAATGCAACATACCATCTGATCAGATCAATTCAGGGTTTTTTTTGCTATAAAGGACACGAACAAGATAATCTTACAAAACTTAGAAAAGGTCTACAGATCAGATAATGGTATTGTATCATTATTATCTTCCTGATTTTGACAATCATACTGAGGTTACGTAAGACAATGTTCTCGCTTTTAGAAAATACATCATGAAGTATTTAAGGGTAAAGGGGCATCATATCTCACACTTCCTCTCAAATGGTTAAAAAAAGTTTATACACAACACAAGAGGAAATATAGCAAAATGTTAACAGTTGGAGAATCTGGGTAAGGGAATACTTTATACTATTCTTCCAACTTTTCTGTAAGTCTAAAATGATAAATAACAAAAACTATCATAATAAAAAATTTTAAAGGTGTCTAGGATACTGCACAGAGCCTGGCACATAAATGTTCAACAAATTTTATACTTATTTTCAGATGAAGAAATATCTCTCCTACTGGTATCTCTTCTAAGCATCTTCTACTAAGTATCTTTTCTACTGGTCCTTCCCTACCTCACCATTCACGGATAAGCTTAGATAGGACAGATAATTTATTTTTAATCGATTTCTTTTTTCTGAATAGATAATACATAGTTCAAAATTCACATGGGAAAAAAAGTCACAGGGAACCAAAGGGTGTACAGTGAAGTCTCCCTCTCCCATCCTCCCAGCTCCCCTCACCACTGACAACCAATCTGCCAGGTTCAAAATGCAATCGTGGGATACTTCTTCAAATCACTAGAATTAGTTAGATCATACTATAGTAAGCTAACCATCTACCTAGAATATTCCAAGTGGTCACTATAAATTTAATAATTTCCCCATTTAGGCATTTAAAATACCCTTAAATATTTGTGCAGATATATTTTCAACATACTAAAATGGGTAAGGGTTACAACTTTTTTTTCAAATGAAAAAATATTTGTATTATGTACGATCACAATAGAAGTCTATGAATTACGGCCGGTAGGCATCAATCACTATAGGGTACTGTAGCTCACCTGGTTTCTGTCGCGTGCGTTTGTGTACCTGATCTTCTGGATGAAGTAGAATATCAGCCATGCTGAAGAAATAATCATCAAAACAATAAAGGATATTGACACGAAGACTAGAGAGCCTCGGCTGAAGTTCTTAGGTGGCATTCGCGTTCCAACAGCTATTGTCATTTGTACAGAGATGTTTTTCTCCAGATAACTCAAAATATCCTTACCCCTCAACTCTGTAATCATGACAGCAATAATATCTCCAGTGCCTGTAATGTAAAATAAATAAATATACTCAAGTGACATTTAAAATTTGTAGAAACGTCAACTATACAAAAATTCTACTTAGAACAACCACTGTGATTTCTGCTGATGGCACAAGTCTGCAGCTTCAACTTTTCAAATGAAGTGAAGCTGCGGTGTGGTATGCAGGCACCAGTGGCAACAGGAGTTTGTTGTGTAGCACTTAAGATTTAAACACACTTTAGGCATAACATGATGGCAGTGTTAACAGCCATATTAACTTGTCTTACAACTATATTTAAAAAACAGATTACTAAATCAGCCAAATGTGACAACAGACAGTACAAAACATTATATTATACAGCCAACAGAAACGTAATAAAATCACAGCAGGTTTTCATTGTAAAACGTTTTCCATCTTAAAATGCACTTTAGAAAGTCCCAACTCCTTAAGAAAAGAACACTCTTATTTCAAACTGGTTACTTTTTGCACTAAACATTCTCAGAAACATTTACAAAGCATCTACAGCGGGTAGAACTAGTACAAGAAACAGGAAGAAGTACAGGGTATGCGGTTTCATAATATCACTGAGACTTAGGACATCGATCTGATAACAGAGTTGCAACAGCAAAATGCCAATGGTGGCATCTTTTATTAATAACAGTTGAAACCAACTTTGGTCCTATGTCTAGACCTGACTGGAGGAAGGTTCCTTCCTAGTTCACCCCAGAGCCCTTGGAAATCAAACCCTTCCTGAGACAAGTATAGGCTTCAACATTCTGGACTAGTTTGGCATCACAGTACTTCCAACTTCTAACAGCTGTCCAGAAGTTCAGTCACAGCCACAAACTATTTAAGTTAATTGTAAGGATGTTCTTAAGTCGCTCTTCTAGTCATCTAGTTCTTTCACTTACGTAATTTCCAGAAGCAGTAATACAATAAGGGCATGTGACTCTCTCTCTCCTATGCACAGCATGAAACTGCTCTCCCTTTCCTCCTCCACAAAGGGAATAATTCCCTACTTTCTTTTAAGGAAAAAGAGAAGTCTGTCTACCACCAATCTAGCTGTCAGCGATCGTCCTTTCATAAGTGAAGTTGCCTGTGGTAACGTGCAACTGCTCGCACCTGCCTTCTTCAGAGAGCCCCTAGGACTCTGGGGGTCAGAGGAAGGAGAACACACACTTTATTTTGGGAAAGAGAAAATTATAACCATTAACTCAAATTTTAAAGAGGTTTGTGCATATAAATATAAATCACCAAAACAAAATAAAACTCCCCAAACATGCCCTTTCAAAGGCTTCTTCAAGGAATAATACTGAATATTTGGCTTCTACGTTTCGTTTATCATATTTAACTAAAAGGACTATGCTAGTATCTTGTGCAGTCAAAGGACCACATGCAACTGAAAAGAAATTCAGTAACTAAAAGGAGTTTTATGAAAAGCTTAACCCAATGGAACACACAGCTTTGTACTACTTATTCAAAATTGTGCCAGCCACTTTATCAGAACATCAGTTTATCAGAATACCGACTAAAAACCCAAAAACAAAAAGAAAACTACAAAAGTAAAGAAAGCAACAAAGTTAACATCTAATTATCTTTCTGAGTAAGAGTTCTGATCAGTAAATTACAGAAAATCATAAAGTAATGCTAAGCCATTTTAAATTTCCATTTAGAAACCATAGGTTTGTGCTTTCAACATGTTGTTCAACAGGCAATGATCTGTGGTATAAGATACCAGGTATGGCTATAAAGTAACTGAGACGGATCCCACAAGCGACACATGACAATCAGTCTCATTGCTTTATAACCACACCAGGTACAAGCAGTTTAGAGTCAGTTCTGAGGCTCCCTTGAAGACAAGCTGAAGGAGGAGCAGGGAGATCTGCACAGGTGGCCCAGGGAACCATCCATGCAATTTCACGCATTCAAAGAGCACTAGATGAGCACCACCTAATTTCAATGGGAAAGCTGTTTGGGAAAAGAAACATTTAATTATTTCAACCATCCATTCAACAATATTTATTGAGCACATACTATGATCAAGTTCCCTAACATTCACCTTTCAAAGAGTGGAAAATTACCTTCTTTGAAGTAATAGAAAATGTATATATTGGTCTCTGCCCCTGGTTCCTGGCACAAACCTCCTAAAACTCTTGCAATTTTTCTAAGTGATAAGAGCATTAGGAGCATCTTTCGTTCTAATATTTGGTCTTTGATGCTGGTTCCTGACACACAGCTCCTAAATCCCGTGGAATTTCCTGTGTTCGACAGGAGTGTCTTTTGTTCTAACGAGGCAACTCCTGGACAGCTTCAGGATGGGGGCTGATCACCAGAAAGACCAAGCCATGATGAGAAATTTGGAACTTTCAGCCTCATTCTCCCATCCTACGGGGAGGGGAGAGGAACTGGAGACTGAATTAATGATTGATCATGCCTACACAACGAAGCCTCCATAAAAATCCCAAAAGTATGAGATTCGGAGAGCTTCCAGGTTGGTGAACACATGCAAGTGCTGGGAGGGTGGTGCGCCGGAAGGCCCCTTCCTACATCTTGCCCTCTCTCTTTCTTCATCTGGGACTTGAGATCGGCTTCCGAAGTGGGGGTGGAGGGGAGTGTCGTGGGACTGAGCCCTTAACTTATGGAATCAGATGCTAACTTTAGGTATAGTGTCTGAACTGAACTGAATTATAGGACACGTGGCTGGTGTTGCTGAGAACTGCTTGATACAGGGAAAACCCCACATGCATTTGGCGACCAGGAATGTGAGAGTGAAGCGTGCTGTGTGCGGAGTAAAGAAGACTCACAGGAGTGTTTTTCTACTACACCTGCTCTTGGTTACGTGAAAAGTGCATCTACCCTCAAAGGGCAAAGGAGAATCTTAAAGGGACTAGAGAGAGGAGCCAAACACAGGTAGTCTCATCAAGCTCGTATCAGAGGCGAGACTGGGAAGAGTCACAGGAAAGGAGACCAAGACACTGCTGGTCAAGCAGGATGGAAAATCATCACAGCAGGTCATCAGAATACTAGGAAAGGTACTAGTTTCTTAACCATTTTAGGTCACGCATCCCTTAGAGAATCTGATGATAGGGCCCCCTTCTAGAAGGAAAGTTCCTCCACAATTCTGCTAATTTCAGGAGAGGTTCATGCACCCCTCATTTCCACCCCTAAAGCTGATCTGGGCTCAAAGACCCTGAGTTAAGGATGCCTCAGACACTTGCCTTTTAAAGATTTGTGAAACCTTGGCCCAGCTTCTGGGGAATATTAGTGTCAGAGAAAATGCAAGCTTTGGGATAAAACCAAGTGGTGATTGATAAGAGTAAGGGACTAATTAGACTGTAATGATGTAAACACTCAAGGAGAGACGGCAAATAGTGGAACCTCCACCACCACTCCCATCACTCCCATCTCCACCCCGGGCAAACACCGCTCATAAACCAGACCATGGCCTCAGAATCCTGTGCATTTCCATGCCTGGCAGCCAGGATTAACCTGACAGACATAGCAATGAAGTAAAACTTGGTTGTGATACCTGCTTTCACCTGTTTTCTTGAAAACTTTCTCCAGGGTTTTTAATGCTAATGTTAATGCTTTAATGTTAATCAAACTCACTGAATTTGGCTACTGTAATAAACAACTCTATTCTTTCTCCTTTTATTTTGAGAATTTTCAAACCCACAGAACAGTTTTAATACTATGAACCCTCGCACACTTTTTATTTAGATTTGTCAACTGGTAACATTTTACCTTTTTTATGTATTTATTATATGTGTATTTATTTTTGATGAACCAACTGAGAGTAAGGTGCAAACATCATGACATTTCCTCCTGAAATACTTCAGCATTATCTCTTAAGAAAAAGGACACAATGGGTTCATCACTCTCAAGAAACTGAACTCTGATACAAGGCTGTTCTGTAATATACAGTCCGTGTTCAAATCTCTCTGCCTGGTTCTAAAGTGACTTTCAGAATTGTTTGGTGTAGTACCCAGGACCCAATCAGGCCCTGACGCATGGTGTTTGGTTGTCTCATCTCATTAGTCTCCTCTGATCTAATTCAGGTCCTCAGCCACTTCTGGTCGTTCACAACATTGACCTTTTTGGTGAGTCCAGGCCATATCTTTTGAAAATGTTCCTCGATCTGGATTTGCCCATTTCCTCATGACCAGATGTCCAAGGTCAACATGTCTGTAGGAACGCTACACAGGTGATGCTGCGTCCTTTCAGTGCGCCACAGCAGGAAGCACATGCAAGTTTTACCTTTATTGGTGATGGCGAATTTTATCACTTGGCTAATCTGGTATCTGCCAGATTCCTCCACTGTAAACGAATGCGCTTCTTTTTTCTTTTTTTTTTTTTTCCTTTTTCTCCCCAAACCCCCCCGGTGCATAGCTGCATATTCTTTGTTGTGGGTCCTTCTAGTTGTAGCATGTGGGACGCTGCTTCAGCGTGGTGTGATGAGCAGTGCCATGTCTGCGCCCAGGATTCGAACCAATGAAGCACTGGGCCGCCTGCAGTGGAGCGAGCAAACTTAACCACTCGGCCACAGGGCCAGCCCCTGCTCTTCTTTTTTCAATTAATAAGCCATCTGTGGGGTGATGCTTTCAGAACATCTAGTTCCCCAGTGATCCAGCACCACTGATGCTCACTTGAAAACAGTTACTACAACTGCATTTGCAAAATGGTGATTTTCTAATGCTACAATTTCTTCCACATTTGTAAAGCGGTTCTGTAATCAGAGGCAGTAACATATTTTTCTACTTATCTTTTTTCTCATTAAAACAACAGAACTGCTGGGTGGGCAATTTTTCTGTAAAAAACAGCCCCCTAGAAAATTCCATTTTTTAATGGGAAAAAAAGATAAGTAGAAAAATATGGTAATGCTGCTGTAATCCTGACTACAAAATCAATTTTCAGGGGCCAAGGAAAGGAATCTCAGAACTGACCTCCTTTGGGCTCTGCAGTCAGAATGTCTAGGTTTAAATGGTAGCAAGATACTTATTAACCTCTCTGAACTTCACTTTC